ATCTCATAAATTCTAACAACTAGACAGGATAAAAGCAGGAAGAATATTCCCGATGACCGTGGTCACTGTCTAAGGATACAGGGTCGGCCAATTAGGACTCGGATGAGGAGAATTTTTTTCACTCCGAGAGTAGTGAGTCTGTGGAATTCTCTACCACAGAAAGTGGTTGATGGCAAAACATTAAATATTTTCAAGAAGGCGTTGCATATAGTTCTTAGGGCTAAAGGAATCAGGGTATGGGGAAAAAGTGGAAACAGGATACTGAGTTGGATGATCAGCCATGATCATATTGAATGGCAGAGCAGGCCTGAGGGTTGAATGGCCTACTCCTATTTCCTATTTCCTATGTTTCTATACACACGTCTTGTGGTAGTGATGTGCTAATGTGACCTGCAACATTTGTTAGCCATATTCCTCTGTGCTCGGTGTAGTAATATATTATTTAACACAGTCTGTTGTAAATCCATGATTTGGTAGTGCAGTGATAAAGGCTGCTAATAATTGCTTTTATCATTTTACGCACCCAAAATCATAAAAATATCAGTTATCCCAGGTTACCTCCCCCTCCACCCCCGACAATAGTGACAGATTACCATTGGGAAGCAACTTTATTTGGAACGCATAATCATCACTAACAAAGATATCAGAAAATCAGCTTTTAAATTACAGTTTATAGGGAAATCTAACTTGGGTTATATTGGGTATTGTGTCTTCCCCAATATAACGTTCATTGTGTTTTAGTAATGAAGAGAGGTTGGATAGATTGGAGTTGTTTTCCTTGGAGCAGAGGAAACTGAAGGGGAATATGACTGAGATGTATAAAATAAGGGGCATGGATCGGGGAGACAGGAAGTAACTTCTCCCAATGGTGGAGGGATCAATGAGCAGGGAGCATAGATTTAAGCTAATGGGCAGGAGGTTTAGAGGGGACGTGAAGAAAAACAGTTTCATCCAGAGGGTGGTGGAAATCTGGATTAGAATACTCAGGTATAGCAGGAACTGCAGATGCTAGAGAGTCTGAGATAACAAGGTATAGAGCTGGATGAACACAGCAGGCCAAGCAGCATCAGAGGAGCAGGAAGGCTGACGTTTTGGGCCTAGACCCTTTCTGAAGAAGGAAAGGCCTTTTTCAGCGCTGTAGATCTCCATGTGGATAGGGCAAGAAAGTGGAGTTGAGATAGCGGATTAGCATGATCTTATTGAAAGGCAGAATAGGTTCGAGGAGCCAACTGGCTTACATGGACTCCTATTTCTTATATACACACAATGAATAAATATACATAATACTTTGGACAGAAT